AATGGGACTCGCTCTTCTGTTTACAAAAGTTTTTCATTTAAAGTGGCTTAATATTGTAAAGAATTACTGCAGATCCCTGTCATCCAGAGGACAGTATACTCCTGGTCTGTAACAAGTGGCACACAGGCCATAAAGACTTATTCAAAAGCTAGGAAATGCCAGAACAGAGAACTTAATTTGGTCACCTTGTGCACACACCTTAATTACACACTGACATAGATTCATAGATGCTAGGGTCGGAAGGGACCTCAATAGATCATCAAGTCTGACCCCCTGCATAAGCAGGAAAGAGTACTGGGTTCAGATGACCCCAGCTAGATGCATATCCAACCTCCTCTTGAAGACCCCCAGGGTAGGGGAGAGCACCACCTCCCTTGGGAGCCCATTCCAGATTTTGGCCACTCTAACTGTGAAGAAGTTCTTCCTAATGTCTAGTCTAAATCTGCTCTCTGCTAGCTTATGGCCATTATTTCTTGGACCCCCAGGGGCACCTTGGTGAGTAGAGCCTCATCAATTCCCTTCTACGCCCCCATGATGAATTTATAGGCAACCACAAGGTCGCCTCTCAACCTTCTCTTGCGGAGGCTGAAGAAGTCCAGGTGCCCCAGTCTCTCTTCATAGGGCTTGGCCTGCAAGTCCTTAACCATATGAGTGGCCCTTCTCTGGACCCTCTCCAGGTTATCCACATCCCTCTTGAAGTGCGGTGCCCAAAACTGGATGCAGTATTCCAACTGCGGTCTGACCAGCGCCTGATAGAGGGGAAGTATCACCTCCTTGGATCTGTTTGTCATGCATCTGCTGATGCACGATAAAGTGCAGTTAGCTTTGCTGATGACTTCGTCACACTGACGACTCATGTTCATCTTGGAGTCCACTAGGACTCCGAGATCCCTTTCCACGTCCATGCTACCGAGCAGGTCATTTCCTAGGCAGTAGGTATGCTGGACATTTTTCTTCCCTAGGTGAAGCACTTTGCATTTCTCCTTCTTGAATTGCATTCTGTTGTTTTCTGCCCATTTGTCCAACCTGTCCAGGTCTGCCTGTAATTGTTCTCCGCCCTCCGGTGTGTCCACTTCTCCCCACAGTTTTGTGTCATCCGCAAACTTGGACAGAGTACACTTCACTCCCTCATCCAAGTCGCTGATGAAGACATTGAAGAGTATCGGTCCAAGGACCGAGCCCTGCAGGACCCCACTGCCCATGTCCTTCCAGGTTGATACTGACCCGTCCACCACCACTCTCTGGGTACGACCCTCTAGCCAATTTGCCCCCCACGGGACTCGGTAGGCATC